ACATGGTCCAAATTTCAGTTCAGATTTGATGTGAATGCAGCTGTACACTTAATGCCATCGTAGAGATACTTTGCTGGCAATTACAGAAGTAGGGGTTTTGATACACTTATTATTCAAAGAGGGCCGCACAAAATGTCGTACAAAATAACTTAAATCAGGGTTGACAGAAAGGGAACTTTACCCTCAAGTCTTTAACACCATTATTAGGCCATAAATACCCCCCCCCCCCCCGAAGATAGGCTACCTCCAAATCACCTTTGGGCAATAGATTTCAGCACTGCCCTCATGAGCGGTCAGTACAGTATTTGTATAGTATTGGCCATGCACATGTTCGGAATTCAGGGTCAAGTCCTGTCCAGACTCAATTATATTTAACAAAAACATCTGAAATGTCTAAATATGGTCATGATGACATATCATGACCATAATATATAGCCACATCATGACTATATATGGGCACATCATGACTATATATGGGCACATCATGACTATATATATGGGAACATCATGACTATATATGGGAACATCATGACTGTATATGGGCACATCATGACTGTATATGGGCATAACAGTTTTTTGTTAACAGAAAATTTGATAGTGTGGACACCGCTTTAGTCGTGCACCATTTTTTTTTTACTAACAGATGAACCTGGCCTGCCTCACGGAGTCAGTGCCAAATCACACTTGTCATGCATTTTTGTTAATAAAACGGAAACAACCGAGCTAATACCCAGTGCCAAAGTGCGTTTACTTAGTATCTACTGTAATACAAAAGCGTGTAGAACTGCAGGAGGTCCGACTGCCCCTATTTTGCATGTATGCAATGAAACAAGAACTAGTACTACCAATGGGTAGGGGGCGTCCCACCCTATTAGAATACAAATACAGTCAGATCGAAACTTGCGTCTTCTGAAAGGCGCCCTCTAGTTTTTGTTAAATTTTTGAGATAGGATTCCGTACAAAACCTTGATAGTCTGACCTCTTGCAATTCTGCACTATTTACTAATACTTTCAAGGAAGCCTGCTATGTGTTTCATAAAGTGTTTTATCCTCTGAACTGTGGTAATGTCGTTTAGCACAATATAACTTGGAATTGCACAGCATGACTAACATTATTGTTTTCATTATTATTTTTATAATTATTAAATCATGAATAGATCATGTAATCTTATGTGAAGTTTCAATTTACTGTAATGATGAAAAGAATGAATAACTATCCAGCGTCGATAAGATACACTCAGGTTTTGATGGTGTCCACCTTCCATTTGCGCATGTCTGATGTGCAAGTCCTTCCAATTCATAACCATCTTTACATTCGTAAACAACTCTAGATCCATGAAATAGATTTTGTAATGACGTTATAAGACCATTTCGTGGAGGTTCTGGAGTTGCACAAGTCTTCAAACATACGGGCGCAACACTCGGCTTCCATAATCCGATAGAAAAAGAACAAGTTTGTGTGTTTTCGCCCTTCATGCGATATCCGCTGTCACAAGAGTACGAAATCGTCTTAGTTCGTTCGTTCTCAACTGAAACAATCATTGAGCCATGGTTGAATGGCGTAATAGGCAGCCCGCATTTTTGACAGGACGGTCTTTGTGTTGGGTACCAATGGCCATTATTACCACACGTTTGAACAGAAGTGCCATCTAAACTATAGTCCCCGTTGCAGGTGAACCTGACCTGGCTTCCAACAGTCAAACCAGAGCCATGTACTTGACCATTTTCAATCGGACCAACTTCAGGGCAGACAATTTCTAGAACGTAATATTAAACATATCTGTATGTATTTATGATGAAATATCAAGGCGTTAAAAATACATGTATACCGGTCACTTGGTAGTTTATACTAATTACCAGCTTAATGTTTTTATAATTGAGGCATGTTGTGGCGAAATGGTTAAGTTGTCGCACAGTCCAGTTTTGAGTAAATAAGCTATAACGTATGGGAGCTCAAAAATTGGCTAAAAATCCAAATTTGTTTTTCACTATAGATCAACAGTTTAATGTCTTATTAATCATGTCCCAAAGTATTAGTTCTGGAAGTGGTTAACAAATTGTTTATTTAACGTTATTTTTTATAGTTCATTCTATTAAACAATGTATGTACAAATAACTTTGAAAGGCAATTACTCAAAATCATGTTTATCTAGAGTCTAAGAGTACTGTACTTTCACTTTCCAATAACTTAGGCTTGAAATGTCCAATTTGAATGTCCCAAAGTATTAGTTCCGAGAGTGGTTAACAAATTGTTTATTTAACGTTATTTTTTAAAGTTCATTCTATTAAACAATGTATGTACAAATAACTTTGAAAGGCAATTACTCAAAATCATGTT